TGTTCTGTTGTTGCTGATAGTGTTGCCATTCCTGCATTTCCCTTTTGACTGTTGCTGATCGTCATTATTCTTGGATTTGATGTGAGTCTTTTACTGAACTGTTTTTGATACCGGACTTTGTTATTTGGATTATCCCTGGGCTGAAAACTGACTGCTTTAACCATGAATGGCTTGGACTGCTTGTTGGACTTTGCTTAACCATTTACTGGCAGTAAAAATATACATTTTACTATACAGTGTAGCTGTGTGCTGTGTGTGTTATTCAACATTACTCTCACTACGTCTTACTATGTGCATTCATTCTCCTAACGGGGAATTACCTCAACAGGTACTATGGACAGTAAATCAACACCCTCTTCCCTGTGATAGTCCTTCAGGTATTGGAAGACTGCTATCATGTCTCCTCTGAGTCTTCTCTTCATTCGTTAAAGATACTTAGTTCCCATAGCTGTTCATAACGTGATTTAACCTTCAGACCCCCTTATCATCTTTGCTGCTCTTTTCTGCACTCTTTCTAGGTCCCCAACATTTTTTTTTTTGTGTTGTGGTGATCAGAATTTTATGCAGTACTCCAAATGTGGCCTCACTAGTGCAGTATAGAGTTGTACTAATGTTTTCTGTGATCTTGATGCTCTCTCTCTCTGTCGGTGCAGCCTAGAAGTGTGTTTGCTTTTTTGGCAGCTGCAGCACTACTGGCTCTTACTTTAAGTGATGGTCTAGTTCTAGTAGGACATCTAGATCCCTCTCACAGTTACTACTATTGAGTCAGATAACCTCTATATACCTATGCATTTGGTTTTTCCTACTTAAGTGCTGGACCTTACTTTTTTCACCACTGAACTGCATCTTGCTGAATATGCTATCTATTCTTTTAAATACATTAATTGGATATAATTCCTAAAACAATGTAGCTAATGTGTATTTATAACCAGCACTTTTATTTGAAGGTGAGGCCCTTCATTCTTTTAGTTGTTTTCAGTGGCTAGTCATAATATATCAATATATGGTAATATATTTGTTTTAGGACACATTCAAAATATAATGATTAAAAAGGCTGAATGAGAAGGTATCATTTGACCTTGCTCCTTCCTTTTCCATTACATAAAGAAATGGAAACAAAACTGAAGTTGCTAATTTGATTTCTGATCTTCCAGAATGTCAAAACACTCATGAGGACACAATAATATAATTTAGGCAGGCACAATAATATAATTTAGGCAGCCTCAGAATGTGGTTAAAAAAAAAGATAAGATGGTGGCCATAATGATGCAATTAAAGCTTTGCCTGATTTTTATACATATGTTTTTTATGTATTATATATATATATATATATATATATATACATACACACACACACACACACACACACACACACACACACATATACATTTCTAAGGATGGCTGCTATTTTTCTGTCTGTTTTGAAGGCAGTCTTGATGTGATGACAGACAGAAAAATAGCAGCCATCCTTAGAAACCCCAAAGATAAAATTGACCTGGAAAACCAAGGCATATACGAAGTCCCCTGTGCATCATGCCCGGCCACATACATTGGACAGACCAATAGAAGAATAAGTACCCGCCTGGATGAACACAAAAATGCAGTCAAAAAGCTGGAACACACTTCCTCACTAGTCCAACACATGGAAGCCACAGGTCATAGCATCAACTTCAATGGCACCAAAACCCTAGCCACTATAGAAACCCCAGCCACAGAATCATCAGAGAAGCCATAGAGATTGAAAAAAGACCAGAAAGCATGAATAGATGATTCCACCAGACTGTCAATCATTTGGAAGCCTGCACTCACAAACAAAAAAAATCTCCACACCACTAGCCAGACAAGCACCTGGGCACAAACAGATCCCCCCTGATACCTCCAGCTCAAACACACCCCAATCAGGCACCCAGATGAAACCTAGCTTCCTAACTAATGATAGCCGTCCGTTTACCGTTTACAAGCTGCACTAAAGGCCTCCAATAAAGTAACACAATGTTGCCAGCCAATCAAGATACAAAAAGAGCCAAAAAACAGACATTAGAAACACCAATCAAGCAACTTTAAAAGCACAACTGTAATGACATGGGAAAAGAGCTGAATACCATACATATAAATATCCGCGAAAACTTAAGAAAACAAATAAATATATATATATTATAAATATATAAATAAATATAAATATATATATGTGTGTATGTGTGTATGTGTATGTATATATATGTATATATATGTATATATATGTATATATGTATGTATATGTGT